CCATTTAAAGGCAAATTGGATGGTTCCACCCACCCAATTGGACTGCCATAGGATATAAGGGACCGTGGTAATCATTTCCGAAATTTTTATTTGTTGTCATAAATGTTCGTGGTAATCTTGAGTTAATGAAATCAGTGCAAGTTGTAAACAGGTAAATTGGACATTTAAAGGCAAATTGGAAGGGTCCACCCACCCAATTAGACTCCCGGAGAGTATTAGGGAGCATGGTAAAAATTTCGGCAATTATTTTTTATGGGTGAAAAAAACTCAAAAAAATCCAAAATTGAAATCCACGATTTTTGAGAAATTTGGGATGTTTCGAGACCCGGTGTCGAAAAGTTTTGAGATTTTATAGGATACATATTGGGGTCATCTAATGCCGTTTGGAACCATATATGATCATTATTGTTGTCATAAATGTTCGTAGTAGGCTTGAGTTAATTAAATCAGTCTAAATTGTAAACCGATAAATTGGTCGTTTAAAGGCAAATAGAATGTTTCCACCCACCCAATTGGACTCCCGGGGGGTATTAGTGACAATGGTAAACATTTCGGTAATTTTTATTTACGGACGAAAAAAAAATCAAAAAATTCCAAAATTGAAGTCTAATATCCACGCTTTTTGAGAAATTTTGGAGGTTTCGGGGCCCGGTGTCAAAAAGTTTTTAGATCAAAGGGGATACATCATGGGGTCATATAATGCCATTTGGAATCATATATGATCATCTAATGTTGTCATAAATATTTGTGGTAAACTTGAGTTAATGAAACCGGCGCAAGTTGTAAATAAATTGGTCGTTTAAAGGCATGACCATACAGCAAATATATACTATACTTAACTCTTAAATTTGAGGATGATGCTTCTTTCTTTTGCTGGATTGGACCGACTTGGTCTCCCTAAACAAAATGCTTTGATCAACAATAATAAGATGGTCTAAATTGCATTTAAGGTGATTTGAATTCGGGTCTGGAACGATTTGGGTTGAATTTGGTCGGGTCAATAACAAGTCGTGTTTATTTCGAGTCGGGTTAGTAACAGATTGGGTTGAATTTTTGGGTCGGGTTAGTAATAGGTCTTGTAAAATTCGCATCGGGTCAATAACAAGTCGGGTTGAATTTGGGTCAGGTCAATAACAAGTCAGGTTGATTTCGGGTCGAGTTTGTAATAGGTTGGGTTAAATTCAGGTCAAGTTAGGAACGGGTCGAGTTAAATTCAGGTCAGGTTAGTAACAAGTCGGATTAAATTTGGGTTTTGACGGGTTAAAACGAGTTTTGGGTCAATTTCGGTTTAAGTCGGGTTCGGTTCAGGTTAATAATTTACGGGTTACATTCTGGTCAGGTCATCTCCAGGTCAGTTCATGTTCAAGTTCAGGTCTCACATACTCGGGTCAACTCGGGTCTAAGGTTAGTTTCAAGTCGGGTTTGGATCACCATTTTTTCGGGTTCAGATGGGTCGATTAATTATCAAATTTGAGTCGGTATTTCGTATCGGGTCAACTTCTGACAGCTCTAATCTAAACAATAACTCCTAATGATGATGATATAATCATCTTTATCCTTTATAAATTGCACATATGCTGCCGTACTGCCAAAGACCGCTGCAGTCTTTCTCTAAACGTAACTAAATAATTTAAAGTCCTTGACTCCTTCGGTCCTTTGTTTACCTTCAAAAGAAGGTACTCACTTTGAGCCACTGAAATAATCTAATAATAAATTAATAAAGATATTTCAGTATTTCACTTATTTCAATCCTTTAGTAACATATCTATTCTTTCAATTATCTGTGTGCAATTACAAATAGGAAAAATTCATGCTTTCAAATAAATAAACCAACTCTTAAGTGTATTAGTGTATAATACAATACTCATCCTTTATATAACTACAACTTTTGAAGGTACAAAATCAAATTTGTGCACAATTATTGATGATAAGAGACCTAGAGAAGTGAGGTTGTAACTTGTAAGAATAACTTAATCAACCAAGCTTTTATACAAAGTAAATATTTATTTTTAACATATGAGGCACGCAATATTTTATAAATGGAGGACGTATAAACTAAAGCTATTTAGCATACCACATTACCACGTAGGAGGTGTTTGTTTAGAGGGATAAAGTGAGGGGGATAGGATAAAAAAGGAGTGATTTAATATGTCTTTTTTTAGTTTAGAAGGATGGGGATTATGAGGGAGGATAGGATGGGGATTAAAAAGGGAGTTATCCCTCCAAATTAATAACTAACGGGGGTGGTATAAGGGATGGGGATGAAATATAATGGGTAAAAGACATTATTACCCTTAATGAAAGAAAAAGAAAAAGAGAGTGAATAAAGGATAGTAAGGGTAATTTTGTACTTTTATTAGTTATTCCAATCTAATCCCAACTCTTACCAAACAATGGAATGCACTATTTTTATCCTTATCCCATTTATTAATCCACCTTCTTATCCCATCTTCTTATCCCATTTAATCTCATCCCTTCTACCAAACGCCCCGGTAATAGACAAATATATGGGACAAGTAGAAGTTAGGCCAAAATTTTCAAAATGGGTCCATTGAAGTCCAGCCTTGACAAATCTCCGTACCATTATATTCTAGTCGTATGATATGACTCATATGATGGCTGAATTGGAAGTTAATGCAATACTTGTACTATGATTCTTTGAAGACTCTAGTCCACACCTCTACCCCAGTAGTAGTCAATTACGATAGAGATAGTTTAGCAAGAATCAAAATCACACACACCACTTTCATTGAATTAGTAATAACACGCTTAAGACTTGACTAACCTGCTCATCACATTCATTGTTTCATACAAGCTATCTAAACTACTCGTATCGTAGGTGGTTTTATTTTTCTACTTATCGATTGGAAAATTATTAGACCATCGACATGGGCTACAAGCATTGTATCTTGATATGAATATATGATGATAAGGTATAAGTGTATAACATATATTCTAGGTACAATGATTTTAGGCTACAAGTTTTACCAAAAGTAGGTTGCATGGACCCCACTATTTTTATTTTTCAACATAGTTTAACCACCTAATTAAGCTAGCAACAAATTAATTTTTAATAAATATCTTTTAGAGCAGGAAATACGCTTGCTCATTTTGTTGCGAGATGGGACACACGTAATTGTTCGGAACTTGTATGTCTTAACTCTTTCCCGCAAGGTCTACTAAACTTAGCGGAACTTGACATGAAATAATAATCCTACTAACGTTTCCCCTCAAAAAATTAAAAAAAAAAAAAAAAAAAAAAAAAAAAAAAAGGTACACCTGTTTGCAAGCAGGTTGAGATATTTCCTCATCAACGATTGAGCGAACAGCTATAAAATTAATAGAAATTACAAGTAAATCCTTGAAACTAACCGGAGAATGTAGATACCTCCTAAAATAACAAGGTAAGCCTAATAACATTGATCGAATAACTCTGTTATATTTACCGAATAATCCTTAATAATATTGATAAGTAGCCCATGTAACGCTAACGAGATAACACTCCCCAACTCGTATAAGAATTTGTGAAATCTAGTGTTAGATCAAACTAATTTGCAACTTATTAAAAAAAAGTACAGATAGTGAGTAACAATTATTGGTATTAGTGCTTCAAAGGGCATCCTTATGTTTTTCGTTCTGCACCGCTATTTTGAAGATCTAATTTGGCCAGTAAAGTTGCTGTTTTTGCCATTCAGATATACGGAAGTTAATTTGTTCATGCATAGCAGCAGCAGGTCAGGAATTCTAATTTACCCCTTTTATTAATTCGATTAATTCTCAAAACAAAACAATTTGATTGAATTACAAGATTCTAACTTGATCAATTTCAATTTTATTTTTTTTTGGCATTTTTCTGTCCATTCTTGTTTTCAAGATTCTAACTTGATTATGCTTGGTATAAAATAAAATCAATGGGAATTGTTCGGAAATTTCCAATTACATTTCTGGATTACATGTAGGGGTGTCCATAATTCGGATAAAAACCGAAATCCAATCCTATCCAAACCGAATTATCAATTCGGTTCGGATTGAGATTTTTTGGAAATTCGGATTTTCGGATTGGATCGGATTGACCCTAATTGGATCCAATTTAAACCGAAAACCGAATTGTAAAATTAAGCTTGTATAAATATGAATTTATGTATATTTTGAAGTTTAGCTCAAATACTTAATACTACATAAAATAAATTAGAGAGACTTTGTATTAATTAATTAATGACTTGACGTTGAACTATGTATTTTAATCATGATTTTGAAGAATTTTATTTATAGTAAAGCTTTATTTTTATAATTGTATTAGGCGCTAAAAAATAATGTATTATAATTCGGATTTTCGGATCGGATTCAAATAACTGAATTTTAATTCGGATTGGATCGGATTGGATCAGGAGAGAAATTCAGATCGGATCGGATTGGAAAATTGAAAACCGAATTATATTTCGGATTGGATCGGATTGGACTAAATCCAAACCAAAAACCGAACGGACACCCCTAATTATATGTTGTTAGTCAGTGAATTATATATGATGGTTAAATTTGGAAAGTTATGCAAGTTGTCAAGTTGATGATGAACTATGACCGTGTTAGTTGGTTCAAAGTCTTCTAACTTCCCAGGGTCGTGTTCCCAAATAAATGAATAATATGTCACACTTCTATTTTGAACTTTGTACTGTATTAAGTTTTAATTAATAGTTACAATATTTTAACTCAATTGATTAAAAATTACTCTAATTTATTTTGGTAGTTTATTATGGTACGAAAGGAGTAGTATGAAAAGTGCGATTTGGTAAATGAAAGATAATTTGCGTATTCGTACATAACACGAAGATTCCTCAATGTTGTGTTCTCCAAAACTTAAATTTGGTTTGGTGAGATTCTTGTTCTCTGACTTTTTCAATCTCCACAAAGTAACTTAGTGAATGATGATGCAGTTTAGAGTTGGACCAGATTTACTAAATTACTAGTGCATTAGTGCTGACACAATGATGGTTTTTATTACAGCATAACCATATTGACTTATTGACAGTGTTTACACAATTTTGTTGTTTCTATATATATCCAACACAATAGTTTAACTGGTCTTCATTTACAAATTGAACCCTTTTGATTTTCATCCATCATCTGCTGCCATCCATAAACAGAAATGCCTTACCATCGATTTTTGTGTGTTCTATCTTGGCTTTTGCTACCATGTTTTGTATTCCCTGCTGCTGCAGGGATTATTAAGAATGGCAATACTGCTGTCCAATGTTTAGAAAAGGAGAGGAGAGCCTTGCTCCAATTTAAACGCGGTATTCAAGTTGATCGTTGTGGGTTGCTGTCTTCTTGGGGAGACCATGAAGAACTCCACCAAGATTGCTGTCAGTGGAAAGGTGTTCGCTGCAGCAACCAGACAGGCCATGTCGTAGAGCTCAATCTTCGTGGGGTGCATACAAATTCCCTTAATGATCGTTGTCTGAAAGGTACGGTTGGTGCTTCCTTACTTGACCTTAAGTATCTGAGGTACTTGGACCTTAGTTTCAATAACTTTGTCCGCCAATCCATACCCGGCTTTATTGGTTCCCTTACCAATTTAAAGCATCTTAATCTCTCCAATGCTAATTTTAAGGGAGAGGTTCCTCGTCAGCTTGGGAATCTCTCCGGATTAAGATCTCTTGATCTTAATTGTCGTTCTGAACTGAGTCCTCATGATCGACCTTATGTGAAAAGCTTGTCGTGGCTTTCTCATTTAACATTGTTGAATGATATCAATTTGAGTGGTATCGATCTTAGTAATGTCACTGATTGGTTCCATATTGTTAACAACCTTCCTTATCTAAGTGTCCTTAGAATGAGTGAGTGTCAGCTTTCTGTAACATATCCTCCCTCACTTTCATATGCTAATTCCTCTACCACACTTAGCGTTATCAGCCTTTCTAGCAATGATTTTGGTGGTGCTAATATATTCACGTGGTTGTTTAGTTTGAGTGAAATTAATACAACCTTGGTACACCTTGACCTCTCTTATTGCTTAATTTTGGCTGATATTCCAGCTAATTTTGGTGGAATGAGCTCTCTTTCATATCTTGATTTGAGATTAAATATGCTAACAGGTCAAATTCCAAGCTCAATTTGGGATATGCCTAATCTTTCATATCTCTCGTTAAGTTGGAATGCACTTGATGGCTCTATTTCATTACCTGATAAAATTTCAAGTCATAACCTCACTCATCTTGATCTCTCTGGGAATTATTTTCAAGTCAGTCCTACTCTTTTGAAATCTCTTGGTCACTTATGCAGCATACGAGAACTTGCCTTAAGTAGCCAAACCCTCCCCTTTGAGTTCTCTGCCATCATGCAATCCTTATCTGTATGTGCACTCCACACACTCGAGTCTTTAGATTTGAGTAACAACATGGTTTGGGGTTCCATTCCTGATACGATCAGTTCATTCTCTTCGCTAAGGGAGTTACTTCTGTATGGTAATCAACTTAATGGCACCATTAGTCCAGCTATTGGAAGATTGTCTAAGCTTGAGCAGTTAGATCTTTCTTCGAATACCTTGTCAGACACTCTTTCTCAACACCACTTATCGAATCTGTCAAGATTACGTACATTGTATCTGTCAGAAAATGCTGAACTTGTGGTGAATGTCAGTGATAACTGGATCCCTCCATTTCAACTCGACTCCCTAACCCTGGGTTCCTGCAAGTTGGGACCTCATTTCCCAAAGTGGCTTCAGACTCAAACCAAATTCTCCTGGCTTGACATATCTAATGCTGGGATTTCAGGCACTATTCCTGCTTCCTTTTGGGAGTCATTGCCATCCGATCTACAACTGTTGGATATGTCTCGCAATAGCCTTTATGGGACACTTCCAGAAGTATCAATTACCTTTGATTTCCTCCCTCGAATAAACTTGAGTACAAACCACTTCAGTGGTGCAGTACCATCCTTTCTGGTAAATGCTTCGATGTTGTACCTAGACAACAATATGTTTTCTAAGCTGATACCTTTCTTGTGTCCAAAAGCCAAAACTAATATAACCTTTTTAGACCTTTCAAACAACATGATTTCAGAGAAGCTTCCAGATTGTTGGACATATTTTGACCAATTAACATCTCTTTACTTGGATAACAATAGTCTATCAGGAAACTTGCCTGCATCCATTGGTGAACTGAAAAACCTGCAGGCGTTGCACTTGCGCAACAATAAGCTTTCTGGAGAAATATCTATGCCTTTAGAGAATTGTTCATCTTTGGTTATTCTGGATTTAGCTGTAAATTCATTGAGAGGATACATACCCCGTGGGATTGGGAATAGTTTAAGAAATCTCGGTGTTCTGATCCTAAGAAGCAATAAATTTGTTGGGGGTCTACCTTCTAGTCTTTGTAAACTTTCTCATCTCCAAATCTTGGATCTTTCTAGTAATCGTATTTCTGGAACCATTCCAACATGCATACACAACCTTACAGCAATGAGCAACACAACAGATCTCTTGCCAGTTATTGGTAAGGCGGGCATATATGGTTCATCGGATTCTGCAAAGCTTATGTGGAAAAGAGCAGAACAAAGCTTTAGCAACTCTCTGGGTCTTGTCAAATCCATAGATATTTCGAGCAATAAGCTGGAAGGCCAAATCCCCTCTGGAATTTCACTTCTAACAGGTCTGTTTTCTTTAGACTTCTCAAGAAACAATTTGAGTGGAATTATTCCTCCTAAAATCGGAGAGTTAACATCTTTAGAGATGCTTGATTTATCAAACAACCGACTGTCTGGCAAAATACCTGCAAGCCTTGCCGAAGTAAGTTCTTTGGCAATCTTGGATTTGTCAAACAATAAACTAGGCGGAAGAATTCCAATTGGTACTCAGTTACAATCGTTTAATGCTTCAGCATACATGGGGAACCCCGGACTTTGTGGTGATCCACTCCCCAAATGCCCTGGCGATGTTCCACCTAATAGTGCAATGGATGAAGATACCACTCAACACAAGGAGAGCAGTGATATTTTTCCTGGACTGTACATCAGTGTGGTGCTTGGCTTTATCGTAGGGTTTTGGGGAGTTTGTGGGAGTTTGGTGATCAAGACATCGTGGAGGCATGCCTATTTCCGGTTCTTTGATAACATGAAAGATAGGCTCTATGTAGTTGTTGCTCTGATCAAAATCAAAGTTTTGAGGAACTTTAGAAGTTAATTGGTAAGGCTTTTATCTTTTACAAGTTCAATTTTATATAATCACTATCAATTATTTGGAGCTCATTACTTCATAAGCTCTGTCCTCAGCTTAACAAGAACTGTTCTATTAATATTGTGTAGCTTACTTTTGTTATAGATAATCTTAAGTGTAAATTACTTATTTCCGCTTACAATCTAATTATATGCTAATATTTGTGTGATTGTATCTAATATTGGAGGCATTAACTTATCTTCTGCTATTTCCTTTTCTTTTGCAGCTTATACGGTGTGTGTATATTGCACAAATGACCCAGTACATGAGTAAAGCAGATATTGGCCTTAGCAACCTGGACTCTTGCCTAAATCTGCAAATCAGCAGTGTAATATTTGATAAAGAGTAGTTAATTTTAGTTTTACTAGCTTCTTAGAAGTATATTACTGCAAGGATAATACTTTATCAAAATTACACAGGTTTTTCTTCTTCATAAAGGAGGCACACGGAGTAGTGATGTAGATGGTATTCGATATCAAATTTTTGGTGCCATTGTAATACTTTAATATTTAAGTTATCGATCAATCGTACTTGCACTTGCATACTACTAGTATCTTACTGTTATAAACTTATAATTCTATACACTTTGCCAAATTGATTGTTCTTGAGAGCAGTTAGAATGTTAGATTTGTCAAAAGCAGGAAATTTCAGTAGAATATTTTGAGGATTTTCCATCATCAAAGGTGGAAATCTTCTGGCCTTCGTTCCATCTAAGAGGCAGCTTTGGGCTGGGCTGACTGCAGTGTGTGCTGGTATATATCTAGTATCATGTGGGTGTAGGCTGAGTGGCTTGACTCTTGAATCTTGATTATTGATTTACACTCGATGAAGCCGTGCGATTTACGGTTTATTTGAATTTTTTAAAATATTTTTTTTTTGTATTTATGTGCTAATTTGTTACATATTTAGATAAAATTTCTAATATCAAAAGATAATATTTTATATTTAATTAATTTAAACTTAAAAATATCATTCGCCAATTTTTCTTACGTAGCATTTGAATTAATTAATTCTAAAAGAAATTAATAATCTCTTATTTAATTGGCTACCACTAAAATTTATAATCCTACGTGGCGCACTGAAAAAATTAATTCCTACGTGAATCTCTAAAAACTCGGGAAAAAAATCCCCTTTATATATATAATAATATATTAGATTAGAGATCGTCAAATACTTTATAATTTAATTGGATTAATGTAATGGTTAATAAATACGAAGTACATTACCAATAACATTAAGAGACCATGAGTTTAATGATTAGCTAGTGTTTAGCTTTTCGTCAATAAAATTAGTGTTTAGCCCGGGTGATATCCCAGGTCATACATTATATATTATTGTATTATACTTTTCATGTATTATATTGATGGAAACGGAATGCCATTAGATTAATGAGGATGACACATGACAGACCGATGTTTAACATTACAAAAATAATTGTTAAAAGTTAACAGAGTATTATAAATTACAAAATGTTGAAAACTATACACTAATACATTTCTATGACTATATTTTTTTTCTTATCTGTAAATTATTTATATTGGTTAAATGAATGTTAATAGAGAAATAAAAAAAAAAAAGTCAAAATAAAACGAATAATTTGAAACAAAGCTAGTAGATTCATACAATCAGCTAACTAATAAAATATGATTGCTAATAAACATCGTTTCAATTGAATTATGATCTTTGCAGTTAACTTAACATTTTAAACACTTTTTACATAGTATTGTCAAACATAGTCTCAATTCAGACAACCAAGGTATTCAACTCTATTAAAATTATGAAAGTGTACTAATAAAACCTAAGTACTATATGTAATGTTTATTATAATCGTCAGACATCTCTTGATCCAATATACCCCTCTTTTAGTTTGTGGTAGCCATACCATTACACTATTGCGTTGTTTTCGAAACTGAATTATACCTCGAGTAGGAAGTCAGCTTAATTAATTAATCATCTTTTCATCGATCCATTGGACTCGGACATATAAACTTATCCTAAGTTACTATGATCAGTAATCACTAATCCAAGTATTAACAAGATTATCATCATCTTTACTTCGTTAATGTCAAAAGTTGGTTAGGCTACATTTAATGTCAAATTCAATTATAGTAATGTTGTTACCTAGTTAAACAATATATTAATCTAGTTAAACAATATATTAAGTAGTAAATGTAGACACAAAATCATCAAAGAAACAGAGCAAATCTATTGATTTATGTAAAAAAAAATAATGGTTTGTTCACTTGTTGGGTCTTTGATTAATGTGTTGTCTAAATGCATAGCATTATACACTAGAAATTTATTATCAATTGTTTATTTTATGATGAGGTTGTCTACCAAGTTTCTTCAATGTTTGGCTATTTCCTTATAGTTTGGATTAATAATCTAATTAGAATTCTTTTTCTTTCCTCTTTAAGTGAGACACTTGGTTTAATTATCATGTTACTTGGTCAAGCTCTCAATTTTGTGTTTATAATTTTTAATTAGTAACTATGTTTAAGCTTAAGAATGCAAAAGTGATCTCATTATCACTGACACAAAATAGGTGTGTAAACTCCTTGTACTTTTAATATGGAGTAATCCCTATTTTTTTATTGGAGCGCTCTACTTTGACTGGATATCTATATTGATACATAAATCATTTATTGAGACAATTCTAACAAATATCTACTAATTGTCAAAATCTTATGTACTCTGTATTCCGTATTTGTCTAATATTGGTCAAAAGACGTAAGGTGAATAGTGCAAAAATCTCAATGGGTGGATCACTTTAAAAATGAGGGAGTGTACGGAGTACATTATTTTGACTTTTGTATTATGCATATACTAACTTTGACTACATAATACAAAATTACAAAGTATTAGAGGTGACAAAAACTGACTCGAAAACCTAACCCGATCTAACCTGGATAAAACCCAATTCAGATTTCTATGTAATATTGATTTATATAGATGCAATATTGATTATGTAAAATATCATAGCATTAGTCTTAGGGTCTAATCTCTTCATCTTTATTTCAATTCAGTTAAGTTCAATTCCTAATTTTCTTTTCTCATAATCAGTTCAGTTCAGCTCACGTCAATTCAGTAAATCAGAACATGCCCTTAACTCATATACTACGTATTTATAATATCAGCCTTTTATATTCTTTTACTACGGAGTAATAGACAACACAAGCTTTTGATATTGAAAGTCGTTTGACATGTGTGCAGAGTGTGCCAGTGATGCACTTATTGAAAAACGGAAGAAATAAAACGAAGTATATTGATTAAGATTTAATGGACACTTAAAACAAAAATTAAAGCTTCTACCATTAATTTTTCATAAGATTTTATTCTATCATTGACTTCCTTTAAATCTATAAGTATGGCTTAATTAAGGTATGAAAATGTATGATGCAAAGTACTCCAATATATAAAATGAATTCACTAACTTTCATGGTCCTTGTATAAATATTCATGCCACTTATGATGAAGTCTTAGGAGACAAATCTAATTTGGCATTAATATTCATGTTCATCAACAATTTAACGTACTCGTAGTGGTTAACAAGTTTGTGTTTCATCTTGCTTTAACAACTACTAATAACATCTTCAAATCTTCGAAACAAAGGAAGTATTAATTAATTAAGGTCCTATTCTCTTCAATTTATTTTCAGTTCAGTTCAGTTCTTAATTTCCTTCTCTCATAAAATATTTAGTTCAATTCAGCTCAGTCCAACTCAAATAAGTTGGCTTTAATTCAACACAGTTCAGTTAATCAGAACAGATCATAAGTATACAATGAATCTAACCCCTAATAGAGTAACATAAAATGAAACCAAAGTAATTTTTAAAAAAAATACTATGTACTTGTAAAATGATTGTTATGTTAAAATTAAAAGTTGAAGGATAAAGGGAGAGGTAGTAACCTGGGTTGATTGTGATAAAATTGGAATCAAGGAAGTGATGAAGTTAGCTAAGTAGGCATGCAGGTAGTACGTATAGTAGGCGCAGGAAATTACACAGAGAGATCAAAGGCTATTACGTGCTTTACACGCCATCAGCAATCAGCATGACTCTGTTCTTCAGAACTTCTGACATACTATACAATACTCCTTTGACCGCCACTGCTCACCTTCATTTTACCGTATATGTACCCTTTTTTTTTTTTACCATGCTACTCGTACTCCGTATTAAATAATGTTACCGTTAACAGTTAACTCTTTTTAATCTACAGCTACATACACTACTTTACGAGTAAATTTGTCTTGCCCAATAAAATTCACCAACTTTTTATTTTTATTTTTTTATTTTTTTGTAATAATATGAATATCTTTTTAATGACACATTTCTCTAGTATTACGTTTTTGTTAATGCACAAATTTTCCGATTAATTACCTAGCATAAATATCATGGAGTATAAAAATTACTCTTTTTTTTTGTGCAAATGAGAGGCTAGGCCTCGGTAAACAAAACAAAACAAACTAAATAGAAATTAAATGTAGCAAACACCTCTACAATATCATCATGCAAGATACGTCCTAATTCAAATAAGAAGGAATTGAATCAACTCTGTAGAGTACATAAAAATTACTCGGTAATATTGAGACGTGAGTACAAAAACGGTATTAATTGAAATTTGCATAAGTGAGTTGATTCAATTACATCAGAAAGTTCAAGGCTAGCTATGTAGGCAATGTAGCCTATGCATATGAGTGATATGACCATGAAGCATGAACAGGCTACAGGAGTACAGTATGACTTTCAACAAATTCAATTTATTCTTTCTCTTCTTTATGTTTTCTTTTTCGTTGTTTTACCCCAGCTTGACGTTAAAAATAAAATCAATTAAAATATAAGTATGGTGGAGGAAAAGAAAAGGTAAAAGAAAGAGAAAAAGAATAAGAATTTTATCATATTTTAGAAAAAGAAAATATATATATATATATTACGGGAAAAATTAAGGATTTGATGTAAGTTGGAAAGAGTGAGTTTTGAGCTTTAAAAAGTGGGTTTCCAAAAGATTGACCAAGTTTCTTTATTTTTTTTCTTTTTCTTTTTCTTTTACCCTTTCTCTTCTTTTGTTTTTCATGCCAAAAAATTAAAATTTGCTTTTCCCTTAAAGTTATTTTAGGCATATATGCTCAATAAAGAAATTAGGAGTAATAGAATTGATACAAGAAGAATTATCTGTTCTATTTTAACAATTGAATGTATTTCAGCAATAGAACTTGGGGAATTTCCTCTTTTTATTTAATCAATACATATATTAATTGTACAAAATAAAAGAAAGAAAACCATTATTTAGTACAGAGTACAAACTATTTCAAGAAGAAAATTACACTATGAGTCATAATACTATTCATAAATTGCAAATTGACCTTAATTGGTGATTTACTGATTTATATCAATCAAGTTGTATAATCATATTAAATCTTCTTACTATAGTATGCAATAAGAAGAATGGAAAAAATTAATATAACTTATACCATGTTATGTTAGCGACTTAGGGCATGTTCTCTTACGTTGAAATTCAGTTCAGCTCAGTTCAGTTCAGTTAAGTTCAACTCAACTCCTAATTTCCTTCTCTTATAAAATATTCAGTTCAATTCAGTTCAGTTCAGCTCAATTCAGTTTAGTTCAGTTCAGCAGAGTTCAGGCAATGAGAACAGGGCCTTAGTGTTATATTTTTCGGAGTACTTAAGAGTATACACATGTACTATATCCTAAAAGGAGTAACTGCACTATTTTTATATGAATTATTCCCTATTAAATAACCTTCGTATATTAAGGGTCTGTTCTCTTACATTGAAATTCAATTTAATTCAGTTCAGTTTAGCTCAGCTCAGTTCAGTTCAGTTCAATTCAGTTCAGCTCCTAATTTCCTTCTCTTATAAAATATTCATTTCAGTTCAATTCAGTTCAGTTCAGCTCCTAATTTCCTTCTCTTATAAAATATTCATTTCAGTTCAATTCAGTTCGGTTCAGTTCAGTTCAGTTTAGCTCAGCTCAGTTCAGCTCAGTTCAGTTCAGCTCAGCTCAGTAGTAAAGTTAAAATCCATAAATCGAAGCATCAAATGCATAAAAACAATCATAAGGAAAAGCTTTTGAACGAACTTAGCTTGCCATTCCCAATTCCCATACATAACTTTGCATTCACCCAAAATAAGGCTCATGGAGAAAGGAATATATCACGGAGGACCACGTATTACTATTATAACTAATGCCTTATTAGCCAATTTGTGGTAATTTGTTTGTTGCTCCCACTTTTTATCACTTGTGGTCATCAACTCAACTCATAACTAATTTATCTATACTTTCTTCACTTGCTCGTAATTCTTCCTTATTTATTTACTAGAATACGTATTTCAATTTTTTTTATATAATACATTTTAACTTTAATAGCATTCACGTTCTCCTTATCGTATATTATAACTTGTACTCGTGGATTTTGTTTAATGTATCTCGTGATATAATTTCAAAATACGGAAATTTCACCATATACCACTGAGTTTAAGCATAATTCACCGTATACCACCAAAAACTTTCTATTACACCATATACCACTCAGTTATTGTATATTAACACAAAATGCCCTTTTTGCTAACTGTCGTTAGTCTGCCGTTTGGGGGACTTTACTATTATGCCCTTATACATCTAACTGGCGCCATTGATAGGGTTGACTCCCCCAAACATAAGTTTTCTAGTTTGAAAAAATTGAACCCCCATTTCCCCTTTCCATTGAAGCTTCTCTCTGTTCTTCTCCATTAAAATCGAACCCCAAAATCAATCAAAAAGCTTCAAACTTTCATCGATCCAAGGTCGACGTTGCCAGTATGTTTTCAATTTGGGGCTTGTGATTGGAAAAAGAACGAACTTGGTGAAGTTTGAGAGAGAGGAAGTTGTTCTTGACTGAATTTCGGTCGTAATTCGCACCTGGGCACGATCAAGCTTTCTGAAGGTAAAATTATCCTTTTCAATTTGTTTTTCGAGGCCTGATTTTTCTGTTTATTGCGAAATTGAGTTAGGGTTAGGGTTTGTTCGACATTGATTATGTGAGTGTGGTTGTTATGTTATTATGTGCGAATGATGTGTTGCATGCGATTTATAAGTAAGTTTGTTGTTAAGTATGATGTGTTTTGTATGATGTGTTGGTGTGTGTTGTTAATTTTTGTTGTGTATTATTCATGAATAGGATGAGTGCACTTTGGTTGTTAGTTCGTTGGCCAGGTGGTACTTTTGATGTTAGGGTAGATGGTACTGATAAGACAAATTTGATGGAGTTATTTGAGTATATGTTTGAGGATTCAGTGAAGCAGAATGTTTTCCTCCCTAAGTACTTCACTTTGGTTGTGAGTAAACCTAGAACTAATCGTAAGCTAGAGTTAATGGATGATGGGGCAATGTTGAAAATGTGGAAGTGGAATGAAGGGAAGGATGAAATTGAAGTGTTCATAGAAGAGACACAAAACCCATCTGTTGTCTTTCAGTCTGCAGAAGCTAGTTGGGCTAGAACTGTGAAGAATAGGGCTGACCAAATTAGGCAGAAGGAGGAAGAGAGAAGGAAATATGCAGAGGCTAAAGAAGTTGAGGAGGAGCTTAATGCTCAAGTACCATATACTGTTGCTGTAGAGGTCCCTGTTGTGAATGCAGAAGATGATGTGCTTGAATATGTGAGGGTATTCCACACTACAACAGCTGATGAGTCATTTCCAGGAGATTCTCAGCCTCAACCTTCACAAAATGAACCATGTCAACCCTCAAATGAAAAAAGTAAGACACCATCACCACCCAAAAAAAATCCTAGAAGGAAAAAAGTAACTCCAAGGAAGAAAAAAACCCAACCTTCACAATCTACTCAACCAACTCAGCCTCCATCTCCACCAAATGTTTCTCAAGAGCACCCTTCTCCACCAACAACACCAACACACCATGCTTCCCCCCCCCCCCACCCAGGCAACCTACACCACCACCCCCACCCAGGAAACCTACACCACCACCCCCACCCAGGCAACCTACACCACCCCCACCCCCACCACCACCACCCCCACCACCACCTCAACCAAATACAGCTGCATCAAGGCAACCAACCCAAACTAGGGGTGCTTCTAGTTCTGCAGCAAAGCCTAAAGAACAAACAAGGGTTAAACCAGCTGAATGGAGGGTGCCTAGAAGCACAGCAAAGAAGTATGGTGTTGAGGTTGGGAAAAACAAAAGAGGAGGGAGGGAAATCAATACTAGGAGCAAAAAACCTATGCCTGTTCAAGAAACTGACAGTGAGTCTGATCCATGGCCATTTGATGATAGTGATGATGATGACTATGAATTTTCTGAAGATGGGGGTGATATGGAGATGGACTTGAACCTTGATGATGACTACATTGTGGAAGAGGATGACCTAGCTGATAACATACCAGAGAAGACATTTGAAGATTACCTAGATGGATCTCATGCTCTGGACAAGATGTACGGAAATGGCAAGGTTTGGGCTAACTTACCATTTGGGTCAATTCAGCTAGAACCTTGGTTAATCTTTGAAAACAAAACACAATTTCATGAGGTATTCAGAGATTTTTGCATACAAGAAGGCTTTGCAGTGTCAGTTGACTATGCTGATAATTACAGATATACAGCTAGGTGTCTGATCAGTGACTGCAATTGGAGGATTCATGCAGCAGTTCTTGTTGATAAGGTGAGCTGGGCTATTAAGAAGCTAGAAGGTGAACATAGTACTTGTGGGAGGCTGGAAGAGAACCCCATGGTCTCTTCAGCATGGCTCTGTAGACAGTTGAGGCAAGACTTATAGGCAAACCCAGAGACTCCAGTTGAATCATTACAAAGAATGTGTCTGGAAAGGTTTAGGATCCAAGTGAAGCTCAGATTGTTTTATAAAGTGAAGTGTTTAGCCAGGGAGCAAATTCATGGTGGTTTTGCAGAGTCATGTGCAATTTTACCAAAATATGCAGAGATGATTAAAGCCACAAATCCTGGCTCACATGCTCTGATCACATGGACTGACAATGGGGTTAATGGTACCAAATTCAAGGCATGTTTCTTCTCTTTTGCAGCTTAGGTGAAAGGGTTCTTGAGTGGTTGCAGACCCATTATAGGGATAGATGGTGCACATCTAAGTGGTATTACAAAGGAATTATGCTCACTGCAGTAGGCATTGATGGTAACAATAAAATTTTTGTAATAGCTTATGGATTGGTGGATACAGAGAGCATAGACAGCTGGTCTTATTTCTTTAGAAACCTAAGACACTTATTTGCCCAGAATGGTTGCCAGAAGGAAGATTGGACTTTTATAAGTGACAGGATGAGGGTTAGTGTCTTGATTTTTTTTGTAATTCAACTTTTCTTCTCTTATGTGAATGACCACTAACCAAGTGTTTAATCTTTCCTGAAGGGTGTTGAACCAGCCCTTTTTGAAGTGTTCCCAAGGGCAACAAGGAGAGTCTGTTGTCAGCATCTGTACTCAAATTGCAAGACTGCTGGATGGAGTGGGACAGAGTTCCATAAGCTATTTTGGATTGCAGCCAGTGCCTATAATGAGTATGTGTATGACAAAGCAATGTCAAAGATAAAGAAGTATGATGCAGCAGCATTTAAGTACCTGACAAATATTGAAGAGCAGTGGACTAGGCACAAGTTTGATAGAGTTGTTTGTTGTGATCATAACACAACAAACTTTGTTGAGTCATTCAACTCAGTTACAAAGGACAACAGAGACATGCCTGTGTTCACTTTACTGGAAGGTATTAACTGACACTTTATTTCATGAGTTCAGTTGGTACTTTATTTCTTGTTCTGATATCCGTGAATTTGTTTGTGCTGTATTTGTTTTTTTTTTTTGTTTTTTTTTTCAAAAACTAAACCAGCTGTCAGGAATTGGTGCATGAAAAGAATGGGTTCCAGGTTTGACAAAGCAATTGACATGGACCCTAATGAGCTGACAGAACATGCTAAAGAGGTTTTGGAGACAAGAAGTGAAGAGTCAAGGTTGTGCCATGTAACAGCAGCTGGTGGGAGAGAGTTTGAAGTCAGGGATGGCCATGTCAAGTTCCCTGTCACACTCCAGACTATGACATGTGGGTGTGGGAAATGGCAGGGATTAGGGATACCATGCAGGTATGGTCTTAGGGTCATCTACAGCCAGAGACTACAGCCAACAGATTTTGTGTCACCATACTACAAGGGGGCTGCATATAAGATGACTTATGGAGACCATATCCACCCTATGGCTGATTCTACTCATTGGCCTGCATTTGATGTACCTGAAATTTGACCACCAACTGTCAAAAGAACTGCAGGCAGACCAGCTAAGAAGAGAAGAAGAGCCCCTCATGAAGCAAGGAAAAGGAAAGAGGCACAAGAACAACAAATGCAGTGTTTGCAAGGAATTGGGACACAATGCCTTAACCTGTAAGGCAAGGAAGGAAGCAGCAAAAAAGGCACAAGATGCAGCAACCTCTTCACAGCAAGCCAAAGGAAGGGGGAGGAAGAGAAAGGCTGACAGTCAGCAACCTTGAAGCTGCCATGCATGATGTGTCAACTTTGTTTGAGGATAATTTTTAAAATTTTTGGTTAAGTTTCTGGTTTTTTGCTCAACAAACTGTTAAGTACTTGGTTGTTTTTTAGGGATTACTATTTGACCTTAAGTGTTAATGCACAATTATGTGGCCATAATTTTTGGAATGATAATGTACTTTGATTACAATAATCATTTCAAGGCTACATATAACTAATGCACTTTGTTTACATTAATCATTTCAAGGCTACAAATACAATTAACAAAAACATAAGTACTCCTATTTTTATTGCTAGATCAACTATCTTTTGCTGCCTTACTACTCTTCGCTTGAGGTCCTTCAACTCTTGCTTCAACAACCTCTCATCTCCATAGTATTGGGTGTCTATCCCTCCCCTACTTTGATTTTCATAACCTGATTGGACATTTTGCTCGACATTGCCCTTGCACCATCTAAATGTGTCACACACATCACACTTATAGTACAACCGTTGCGGATTTTTTGCCGATTCAGAACTCCGTATTGCAAACTTCCTACCACAAGAACACGCTTTGTTAGGCACTCTTACAAAACCGGACGACGATGATTTCGAGTGTGTGGACATCTTTGCAAATGTGTTTAGAAGAGTGACCTGAAACATGAATCCCTCACACCCAGCTTTTATATAGACAAAGTAGCCGTTATCAATGTGCAACGGCTATTTTTTTCAAAAAAAGTTACTGTTTTAAAAAAGTGGTATACTGTGAATTAACCTTAAACTACATGGTATATGGTGAAATTACTTATAAATTAATGGTATATGTTGAATTAGTAAAGTCCCCCAAACGGCAGACTAACGGCAGTTAGCAAAAAGGGAATTTTGTGTTAATATACAATAACTGAGTGGTATATGGTGTATTAGAAAGTTTTTGGTGGTATACGGTGAATTATGCTTAAACTCAGTGGTATATGGTGAAATTTCCCGTTCAAAATATTTACTCTACATGTATGATGAATACAAGGTACTCGGCAGTGTGAGTTTGTGACTCAAGTCATATGTCTCATTAAAATGCAATGCTGTATCACGGACTTGAAAGAATAGTTGACGCTCCATTTCCAAAACAAAAAGAGATAATTCGTATATACAAAAGCTCATTATGATCATCATTAACAAAACAGAGTTAAAAGCTTTACAAGACGACTCAAGTGACCTAAGCTCACTCGTCACTCATCCACTGGTCATCATCATCATCACTCCTAACAAACTACTCTTCTATTCTCTAATTTCACCAAACAAAACCTTGTAAATTTCTCCCTCAAATACAGAGATAATTCACCAAACTGTATTTCCTAATTATCATTTTAAATTAAACCCTAATTAATTAATTAATTATGTTTTGGGAGAAAGATTTTCCCGCCTCTTTCTCACTCTCAAACCAAACAAACAAACAAAAGTTTACAGGCATCACCACTAATCTAATCATTTCATCAGCTTTTTTTTTTGTTCTTCAGATTTTTTCTGACACTTGAATTGACTTCTCATGTGATGGATCACTGCTACATCTCGATAACGACGAATGTCCTGCAATATTATTAACAAATTTCATTAGTTTCAAATTCAAATTACTCACTCTAATTACATTTAATTAATCTTAATTTAAATTTATCAACAATTGTATTTTCAAAATTACATTACAACTATCCTACCTTTAGAAGTGGTGAGAGATCGTTTGCAGTGTTGAATAGCGCCTTCAATGCCGTCGCAAGGATGGTCGTTTTTCGCCGGAAAACTCGCCGGCGACGGAACTCCGATCATCGCTGAAGATGATTTACTCTTTCCTAGATGCTTACTCTTTGCTTTGAATCGACTGGTTTGCTTTTCTTCCTTTTTAATCAAAGGAATTGGCGTCGTTGTCGACGGTCTAGTCGGAGAAGCGACGAATTTCTCGGCGTCGCTAACCTTTTTCGAGGTTTTAGGCTTAATCAGATTTAGGTATTTTAGAACGACGTCTTTTGAGAAACGTTTCGACGTTTCTACGAAAGCGTCGGAGCTCTGTTTCTCGATCTTCGGACTGCTGGAAACGCTTGAGTTGTTGCTTCCACTCCGAGTGAACTTCGGAACGATTGAACCGTCTTCAATTCGGAATTTCACAGTTAATAAGCTTGAATTGCTGCGTTTTGGAGAAGAAATCGAAGAAACACTCTCCGTTTCGAACACATCCTCAACACGCTTCGATTTCTTATTGAATTTTCCGAACATAAACACTCGAAGCTTCGGAGAAGCTGAGCGTAGAATCGAAATCGGAGATTGAGGTTTGGACTTAATTTTCTTCTCAGATTCCTTCTCTTCTACACAATTATAGAAGTTTTCTGGTGAATCTTTGGAGCAAGGAGTGGAGAGAGAAAATTTGGAGTCAGAAGAAGGTAGAGTGAGCTCTAATTCGAAGAAAGAGTCGTCGTCATCGTCGTCGCTTAGCTCGGTGAGATGGTCGGAAATGATGGAATCGGCGATTGTTTCAGCGCTATCGCCGTCGCTAGCGGTGGTTCCGGCGGCGACTTTAGAAGTGTTTGATTTCCAGAATTTGAGCATTGTTAAAACCTCCATTTTAGGTTTTTTTTGTTGTTGAGTCAAATGGTTTTTGTTTGAACTTTGAGAAGGAATGAGACAGGAGAGAGAGTTTTTTTGAATTGCTTTTTGATGGCCGTGTAGGGAAGGGGAGTGTGGAGGGGAGTCTTTATATAGGGGAGAAACAAGGAGTATCTCTCTCTCTTTTTTTTCTTTTTTATTTGGGATACTTTTCCTCGTTCTTTTTCTTTGGTTTGACCCTTTTTTAAAAAAATAAAAAATATGTGAGGTTAATTACTTAATTAGACATAACTAAACTATAAAGAATATTTCTACCGAGTATTAAGGATCTTATTAACAAACGTCTTAAAATGTTAGATAAATATTTTTAAATTCTTCTTATATGATAGTAATTTTAAAACGCATGACACAATTACGTGTTAATCAATGTGATTCATACTCTTAGTTATCTTATCCAACACCTTAGGCGTTCGCTAGCTGTCGTCTATTATTAAAGGATAATAAGCTAAAATTTGTCGTGATGAAATGGAGATATGACTTGTTATTGTTGTAACTTGAGGATGTTATACCAAGTAAAGGTCTATTTAACCATGTCTTCTCTAAGCATACATACCATAAAAGATGAATCTATGTAAATTGAATGGCCTGCAACAGTCGCTTTGCTCCCAACCGAAAACCTTTAAAACATGTATTCATTCTTGCACGTGAGATCAACTAAGCCAAACCAAGAGTTGCTCCCCCAATATCGCCTTGACTAGGGGTGACAATTCGGGCCAGCAGGTCGAGTTTGGGTCAAATTTCGGGTTATGCTTAGAAACTATCAAAAATAGTGTAAAATTTAATAGTAGTATGAAATCTGAAAATTTGGATCAAATCGGATCGAATTCGGGTTATTTGGATTCAGGTTGAGTTGTCGGGTCCGGTTAGGGATTGCCAGCCCTAGCATTCACCTCCAAATTTCTGGTTTTGTGAAAACCATCCACTTTTAGTCGCTGATTTGGGATAACATTAAGGCTTCATTGTTCATATGATCGATTTTGTTGGAAATTATATTTGCGAGAACAATTTTTGTTTTTTGTGTTTATTAATGTATAAATCTAGTTACTAAATTATTAATATCTTTGATTATCTACATGTGAAAATTATACAAGTATGTCGATAAAATACACATTTAGGCGAATCTAACAATATTTATTATGATCATTGTTTTATATAAATATTTTTTTTTTACTGGTGCTTTATATAAATTTTGCGTCATTAACTTTAATTTTATAAAATATGAGAAAAAAAGGTTCGATTTAAATTTATAATGTAATTGTTTAAATTAACTAAAAAAATAGATTTAATTATGTTGTTTTGAATTATTTACAATCTAAAGTCATTTCACAAGATGTGTGGATAAAATAGATAGGCTACTCCCTTCGTATTTAAAAGAGAATTAAAAAGTAATAAAAATAATACATGTAAGACTCTGTATTGTAGGAGGGTAGATGACTCATCTATACAATAATCTAAAAACATTTTTTGAACATTATGATAATTATTTTTGCTAAAGAGGGGTTAGAGCCCGACAAGCTAAGGTAAAAAATAAAATAATACTCCGTAATCAACAATGAATAATATGTGGTAAGGCCACACCTATTATATCACCCATTTTATTCTTGTGGAATGTGGAGGTATAAGCTTGTACATTGTTTAACATAAAACTTGTTCCCTTTTACAGGTAGATTATACCTCGTAAGACATTGAGAAAGAAAAATGATTACGGTAATACACATGTGTAGTTTCTTCGTTTAATTAAGGATGTGTTCTATTTACCTAATCTCATCTTATTTATAAATTTTTTAATGTATTATATTCACTAGATTTTATGGAGTACTTATTTGAACATATATGAAATTAACTTATCAAAAACTTATTTTAATTGTAATTATAATATGGGTAACTCTTATTAGAACTTGTTTAGCATGAGCTTACCGTATTTAATCTGAACTTATTAGATTTTAAATAAATGAAAGTAATAAGGTTAGCGAAACAGCCATTAGTTGAAGCACGTACTCTGATTTTAAGCACGTCCATTTCAATCATTGATATATTTAATTAATTATTAGTAGAAATATTGTATTTTGAAAATATAAGTGGAAGCAAATCTAATAATATTGCACTTGATTATGTTTTGTATGGCAAAAA